GAACAGAAATCCAAGAATGTTTTCTTAAAGAACCTAGTCTAGTGGAGATCCTAGAGTATATTTTAAAACACACATACTTGTGGAAATCATAAGGTTTTCTTTACATATTCTTTAGCACTACGCGCCTGAGTAGTGGAAAGATGTTTGTACAACTGAAAAGTCCAAGCCAGTCAAAAGAGTGATTTACATGTTCCAGAGAGATGTTTCTATAGAAAAGATATCCCACCCCCACTGCAGAAAAGGTTTTATAGAACTAGAACAAATGCTTCAAAAGCTCAAAGGGATAAATGCTGGAACAAGTAATAAAGGGTTATAGATCATTATTCTCAGAAGGGCTTTCAAAAGAATGTCTCATCATAGGTGGGCTGACTTGAAGATGAAGGGTTGGACAATGTAATAATCAGGCCTGTAAATGATATTATCCAGAACCTGGCAAAATCACTATTTCCCTTGGAACAGTTTACTCCAGGAATAAAATACATTGACTTTTTCTCCCCTAGAGTCCCAAACAGGAAAATTCCTTAGTAGAGAGTCTAGAAACTTTAGTATCCATAACTAGGGGAATTTTAGCTTAATGCTAAGAAGTCAAAGGAGCTCTTGTGGACATCTGTAAATTGATACATATGTAATGCATGTAACATAATATATATAGTTTTGATTTATAATGGAAAGAAAGCTATGGCCAAAGATCCCACTTATGGACCAAATTTATTTAGATGTCTAGAGTTACAATAGCCACAAATAAAATATTATTATGGTTAGTGTCCACTGCAGGGAAAACAACTTGCAAATACATGAATTATGTAAATTATAACTTTGTTCCTAGTTCTGGGAGATTAGCCAGAGTTCAATCTTTAGCTATAATGACCTCTTATCTTGGCTAATAGAGGTTTAGCTTATATTTTCACCTATATTTTGGCTAATTGAAGTCCAGCCAATATTTTCACCCTTTGATGTTTATGAGCAAAGTGTGAGAAGTATTGTATTAGACATAATCATAACAAAAATAATGTCTTATCCTCAACTTCTCCACTTGGCTAAAGCCTTCCCTACCCTCACATATGGTCACTGAGTGCTCATTCTGTGGGAAGTGCTTTTTCAGGACACAATTATGAATTATAGTTCCTGCTTTTAAGATCTCACAGTATTGTGGGAGATAGGACAT